TTCAAACATTATGATTGAAGTCCTAGGAAACTCTGCCCCTTTTCCTCTTTCAATCTCCCGAATGTAGGCATTAATTTGTTCCACGACTGTGGTGAACAGAGAGATCCTCTGTGTAGGCTTTCATTAAAAAAATGTTATGATGCCCAAATTGCACGGCTAAAAACTGGTCTTATAGCTTCTATATTTATAATGTAATTTTTAAAAACCAGGCAAGTATATATGTATATTAAAATGACCTCTATAAGTCAAAGGACAATTCAACTTACATATCAGCCATGAATGGAAATCCAGTTTCATTTCTTGAGGAAAAATTTCATGGTGTTTTATAGTAGCCATTGTTGATTTTCCTATTGTCTGGTTTTGAAGGCCTGTAATGCTTCCATTCTTTTGTTTTGATTGGTTTTATACTGTTATGTTTTGTTTGAATTCATTGTGTGTGAAGATATGGACAACTATTTTGAAGAAAACGAGACATTATGGTAGTCACTGTTGATTTCTTGTTGTCTTGTTTTGCAATCCTGTGTTGGTTGCTTTGTTTTATTCTGATCTACTATGTTCTGTTCTGTTTTGTTTTGTTTTATTCTCTTTAAAATTAAAAAAAAATTTACAGTGTTTAAAAAAAAGCCTCCCAAATTTGGTGAGGCAGTTATAAAAACCTAACCTGATCTACTCTGCTTTCAGCAGAAGGTTGAATATAATTTGTTTACCTTCAATCTAATCATCAAGACACTAAAAATGCATATGGATGTAGTTAGATCATATCCAGACATTTGCTTTCGATTTCAAGGAATTTTAATTTACAGACTATCTTGAATCCCTCCTAAAGGGTCGTAAGTTGACACTGCTGAAAGTAGCACCACCAGCTTGCTTTTTGCAGAAACGACTCGAGTGCAGCCCATGATAAAACTTTACAAGGACAATACAGGAAGGACAAGCAAGTCCTGTCCTTAAGGTGCTTTCACTCTAGAGTTCTGTCAGATGGCAGTCACAGCTCTAAAATAAAAGCAAAAGACAGTGTATCCCATTGGATGGCTGAGCTGTGGCAGGTTTTTCTGGTGAACTGGTAATCACACTCTGCAGCCCACCAAGGACTGAGGAGGTTCTAAAAGATACAGGGAGTCAAGTGATGGCAGCAGCTGTAGGATAGGGTATGGCCTAGGAGGAAGTGGCAAGGCAGGACCTCTGGCCATCTTGGCTTCTTGCTGACTACTACCTGCTCCACGATCACTTTCCGAGGAATTTACTAACTTTCTATGAAATGCGGCATATGTTAGAAGGTATTTAGATTTACTTTGGTTCATTTTGCAATCTATTTTGATATCTTAAAACAAAATGGTAGCCCAAAAAGTCTACTCTGGAAGCAAGTAGCAGAGGAGAAGGAGGCAAGGGTCCAGGAAGTACCGAGTCTTTGGGTGAGATGCTGGGCACTAGAACAGGAATCAGTATGGCCTCTTCCCAGTGCTGTCTGTAGGCACTAATGTCAGCATGACTGATTCAGCATGGGTTTTACCAGTGAAGGCTGCAAAATACAGGTACAGCAGGTGTGGCCCCCCGACACAGTGCAAAGTGAGGGCAAAGCTCCGTGTGAACATTACCTTCACACTTTCCCAAGGCTGACCAGCAGTGAACCATTTCTTTAAGACCTGGCCTAGCTGAAGAAGTCAAAGGAATACTGGGCTTTTCTAGAAACTCATCGGTTAAGAAAAAAAATCCCTAAAGGTGTGGGATGCCCACTGTAAGATGAGGAATACAGACAGGTTCCTAGGTCATGGTAATTGGAATAAAGAACAATTGGGGAAAGAGGCAGCACTTCTTTAGAAATTGAATGACTTAGAGAAGTATGTGAAGAAGACAGCTGACCAACTAGAGGGTAAATAAAGAACTCATGGCATTAATCAGAATTATCAGGCCAAGGATTTATACTCTAAAACTCTCTTACAAATTTGATAGAAGAAAGTAACACCTGAACAACTGAAGGGGTTTACAAATAGTTCTGCCAGAAATTTCAAACACAGCAGACAAAAATGGGCCTAGGGGCCTGGGATATACCTCAGTGCTAGAGCACTTGCCTAGCATGCAGTAGGCCCTGGGTTTGATCTCCCCCATACCATAAACAAACAAGCAAAAAAGAAAATCAAACAAGTGATCAAAAGACCAGGGAAAAAGTTCAGCTGCTTCAAGCTGACAGTGATACCACTACAGAGCACAGCAGCTGCCACAAGTTGAAATGGCTCCAGACCTCCCAGGAGTGTGGCACTGCCTGAGAGCATAGTCACAATGGGCACACTGCCCAATCAACAATCAGCCAACTGCTCCTTTGACAGTGCTATGCAGTACCTACTTTCTCACAGAAGCGTTGTCTTTGCAAACTTAAGAACAGCTCTTATCAGTTTTCCATGCTCTCTGCATGGAGCAGCACCCTATTTGTCTAGAGGGGCCTTCCCTATCCATGTTATAGGAGCACTTTTAACCTGGCGGGGGGGACTTCTTGAAAAGGTGAAAACTCCAGTGTCTTTTAGGAAGTTTGTAGGTTACCCTGGTCATGAGATACAACAAGACCATTTGTTCCCCCGAGGCAGTATTCAGCCAAAGGAAGAGACGAGTAGCTCAAAACACATTTGGCATGAATGGTATTCAAGTATCCCTGTTTCTTGTTCTTGAACTGAATTACTGGTCCACAGAGCCTGTCCTCGCCAGCCAGAGGCCAGGGGAGCTCAGGTGCTAATCCTAGACTAGGGCCTCTTCTCAGGGCTTAAATCGTCTTGTCCTCAAGCAGATTTCTGAAGGGCTGAGCCCACTGCTGCCGAAGTCTCTACTTAGCAGTGCAGAAGCATGGCTTGGCTAGGATGGAGAGGAAAGCTAGTATGAGAAAATTAAGCAGGTGCTGAAGTTAGCCACAAATTTCTCATGAGAGATACAAGCTGTATTTAATGGCAATTCTGTTAACTTCATTGTTGTTGTTTTTGAGACAGACTGTTTTGTACCTAGACGTCCCTCCAAAGCCTCATGCACTGGTACTTGTAGGTGGGCATTTTTGGAGCCTGTTGGATCTACCTAGGGTGATACTGAGATTAGGGTTGTGTGGTACTAACTTAGCCCCACTGACTGGAATTAGCATAGTTCTGATGTGGCCGAATAGGTTTATTGAAAACAGAAGCCCAAACCTGGGTGTGGGCACCACCCAAGACGCTTGTAGCCTGCATGTGATAAAAGGGAAAGGGAGCCTTCCTGCTGCTGCTGCCTCAATGCCTCCTGGCTGTTCTGCCATGGACTGTTTTCTCCTGTGATGTCCCCCTGCAGTGCCACCCTGCCTTGGAGCCAACTATAGACTGAAACCTCTACAAACTATGAACTGAAATAAACCTTTTCTCCTTTAACTTATGGGTGTCAGGTATTTTGTCTCAGCAATAAGAAAAATAACTAGGGTACAAGATCTCACTTTGTAGACCAAGCCTGCCATAAATTCACTACTATAATTCCAGAATTGTAGCCCTCCCACCTCAGCTTCCTGGGTGCTGGGATTTTTGGTATTTTATTTTTTACTTGGTTGTTAAGGGCATTTTCATCTATTTTATGACCTGTTTTTCCCCATTAGTAAAAAAACAATAGATTTTGAACATGAGTTAGCATAGAGAAGAATACCTATATATATATTTTTCCTAAGTATGGAAAGAGTATTTTATGGTTCTACTTGTAAACCAGAGTAAGTTGGGTCTTGTATCCTTCCCTTAAAACTAAGCTGTTACTGCCACCACTCTTCATCCCAGTGCCCTAAGGAACCAGTTTTGAGTCACCCACTTTGAGATCAGTCTTGTTGGGTGTCATGGTTTATGTCAGTGGCCCCTAAGCCTCATGTGTGTACACTGTGCATTTGTGACTGGTTCATTGTCTAGTGCTTGGATTGATGATGTCAGTGCTACACCCACCTACAAGTGGAGCAAGGATATAATGTAACGGCAGGAAGAAGATGTGTCTTTCTGTCTTGCCAGTTTCTACCTTGCTGTTTACAGCCCCACCAGGGACTGCGGCCTTGCCATGCCACCCTGCCTTCAAGCCAACTGAGTATGGGCTGAAACCTCTAAAAACTGTAAGAAAAAAACCTTTTCTTTCCCAACTTGGTACATCAGGTATTTTGTCTCAGCGACGAGTAAAAAATAACTAAGACACTGGGTGAAGAGAGTATTTGGCTGGGAACTAGAGAAGGTAATCCAGGTAGGGGAGAGGCAAACTAGTGTACAAGGGAGCCCTGAAAGCTGGAAATTGATCACATCTGTGGGGCCAAAGCAAGGCCATCCCTGAAAACACTGAGTGCCCAAAATAAGATGGTAAACAAGCTGTGCCAGCTCTAAGAAGGCAGGTAGCCCAGGCTAGCCAGGCAAACAAGTTGCTAGGCAGTGGGGTTGAAACTGACATCATCCTCCTGAGTCTATAAATAAACCTGCTATAATGGTTGAGCAGTTCCTTTCCTCCCATCAGGAGAGTAAGTGCTCCATCTGGCCCTAGCTTTAGTCTCTTCTTTATTTCCTCATCTTCTCACAGTCCTTCACCCTAGGAACCTAAAGAGCTGTGTGAGTAGTGGCACAGGACTCCAGGTCTCACTCCTACCTTTACTCCCTTGCTTCAAATAGGATAGTTAACTCTTTATGGCTTTATATATTAGCACTGTGATCTCAGGTATGGTTAAAGATGAAGCAAAATGATTCCAGATAAATGCACCTCGGACAGGGTGGGACACACAATGGATGTTCAAAAAATGTTAGGTATTATTCTTTTTGGGTTCTACATCAGGTTTTGTTAGAAGAAAGTTTGGATATCACTAATTTGACCCATTTTTCTCACTGAAAAGAATAAAGCTGGACCCAGTGTACATACCTGCAGTTCCAAGGATTTGGGAAACTGAGACAGGAAGATTGCTTGACCCCAAAAGCCAAAGGATACAATCAGTAAAATAGTGAAATGAAGCCCAGTTGCCCCAGTCATGGATTTCTGGAAGGTCTTACCAGAGTTCCATCAGTCAGTGTACAGCCAGAGAAACGTTTGGCCAGAAATCCCTCAAAGTTAGTTGTTCTCTGAATAGCGAAAAGAAGCAGTTTCACCTCAATTTCCTTGGCTCTGGCACGCATAATCTTCGCAAGTTCTCCCCTTCAAAGTAAAGAGTTAAGAATATTGTCAAACAAAATGATCATTCAAGATGAGAAAAGTAAATGGCTTATATATAGAAAAAATGTACATGATCATTTGAGACACTGAAGTCTAGTATTACCAACTTAGCCTAATACCTGAGGAATAGAAATACAGTAGTTCTCCTTACCCACAGGAGATGATTTCCAAGATGTTCCCTAGATCTTGAAACTGCAGATAACACTGAACCCTGTATGTACTATGCTTTCCTCTAAACTGTAGACACATATTAATAGTAAGTTTTAGGACTAGGGATTTAGCTCAGTGGCATAAGCACCTGCCTGGCAAGTGCGAGGTCATGAGTTTGATCTGTAATACCAGGAAAAAAAATAGTAAAGTTTCATTTAGAAATCAGACACAGCAAGAGATCAACAATAATTCATAATAAAACAATTATAATGATATACTCTAATACAAGTTATTTAATATTTATGAATTATTTCTGGACTCTTTTATGGAAAGTGAAAGCACAAATAAGGAGAAACTGTACAGTGTAAACAAGAATTTTAAGGTGAAATCATTCCTGAGTAACAAAAAGATCAAGCATTATGGATGGAAATCTAATAACATGGTTATTACTATGTAACTTTTCAATCTTTCAATAATTCATTAATAATACAATATGAAGCACTAAGTATTTTATTAAAATACATTTATCCTATATAATTTCACAAATCATGAATTACTGAATTACAAAGCTCTTTATCTTCTAGACAGCTCAACAACTATCACTTTACCTACAGCAAGGACCTTAGAAAAAAATACCCATGAGACATGGGAACCTCTATGACAAAGGTGTCATGTACATGCTCGGTTGGTTCTTACTTACGAAGTTTGGGTGTGACTCACCCAAGTGTTCTGTTTCAAGATGCAGTTCATTAGGAAAGAGTGACATATGAATTCTTACTATTTACTAAACTGTCATAATCTTCCTACACAAATAAAAGAGACTGTGAATTTATTTGAGAATGATGTATCTGTAGGACTTCAGCCAAAATTCTAACAATAAAAGCTTGCCAGTAGTACTGCCTTTAGTCAAGACAATAGCAGGTACTGACATTCGCAGACATGTGTTAGTTTTAGTGTATCTCCTGCATCTTATAGGATTCATTCCAAGTCTGCTGAACTTTAGGCAAAAAAGAATTATAAATCATTTCTCAAGGAATTTATTCTTCCTTTGCTAGTTAGGATTTAGAAAGTGACAACCACAACCAATCTTGAATCTATTTTACTAAATATTGTATCTATGATTTAAATATTTGGTAGCAAATATGTTTCTTAAAATAATACACACATTAAAAAGTACAACTCCAAAAGTGAACTGTAAGCCTGAGGATCGCCATGAGTTCAAGGTCAGCCTGGGCTACATACTAAGTTCAAGTTCAAGGTCAGTTTAAGTTACAGTGCAAGACCTTGTCTCCAAGAAAAGAAAAAAAAAAAAAAGTTAAAATGCTTAGAAGGACTGGGAATACAGCTGAGAGGTGTAAGTTCCTGCCTGGTAAGTGGAAGGTCCTGAGCTTGATTCCCAGTACCAAAAAAAAAAAAAAAAAAAAAAAGCTTAGAACACACAGATGCTAATATTATTAACCATACAAAGACTATAAACACTGTATTAAGGCAGCTCATCCAACAAATACTCTCTGAACATCTGCTACATTCTTAAAGTAGATAGTACCCCTATCTCTACGTTTGTTTATTTTGAGACAGGCTCTCACTATATAGGTCAGGCTAGCTTTGAACTCACTATGTAGCACAGATTGTCATTCTTCCTGCCTCAGCCTCCTGAGTGCTGGGATTATAGACATGCATCACCGCGCCCAGCTACCCCTCTCTATGGAACTATCTATCTAGCAAGACAAAGTGAAACTGACGAAGGCTCTACATTTACTGCATGCAACACAGATGCAGGGGGGAATGTGGGAGTGATAAATCACTACAGGTAAATTTAGCTGATGAATCTTGAGTTCAGAAAGGAGAGAAGAAAGGCCGTTTGAAGCAAGGCTGGGCCACGGGAAGGTCCTGGAGCCAAGAAGGTGGAACTCTGTTGGTATGAGGGTGTTCCCAATCATTTGGTGGAGTCTGGAAGTGGTACCCAATCCACAGGACAACACAGAATCAGAGACTAGAGGATTCATTTTAAAAGTTCAATCAGCACCAGAACCAGTAAAGAGTTGGAATCTACCTTGTCACATGGCAAAATTCAACCGCAATCCTCTCGGTCATGTACCATTCACGTGGAAACATTCGACCATACTTTTCCTCATAGTCCACAAGCTGCCGTTTTACCCAGGCATAGCGTCTGTCAATCTTGTCCAGCCAGGCAACCTCATAAAGGTAAGGAATAAAAACCACGCCAGGCTTAGAAGTAGTATTAACAATTTAAGGAAACAAACAAAAACATAAAACCAAGAAAAAGACAGCCAACCCCTGTTATTTCCTGCCATTTCATTTGCTATCTTATTTACTCAATCCAAAGAGTCTTAACCTGAGGTCTGTGACTGGGCTTCAGGGGTCTGTAAATTTCCTAAAATTGTAAGTAAAGTTTAATGCATAGTTGCATTTCCCTTCAGAGAAGATCTACAGCTTTCATTAACTTCTCCAGAGGGTCGGTAACCTCAAATGGCTAAGCTGTGCTAAACGGCAAAGTCTGTAGGAGTCAACAGTATCAGACAGTAGCACTAATAAAGTGTAAGAGAATAGGCTTGGCAGCATTCATTCTCCAATAAAACTGAAGGGCTGCATCTGACCTCCTCTGGTCAATACTTACATCTTGGTTTTCTTGAAAAAGTACCAGATACTCTGACAGATGCTGTTTAATAAACTTTTTGATGATTTCCTGTTTGATTCTGGGATCCAAAATATTAGCAACCAGACATGCATCTCGCAGGACATTGCTGGGTCCTCCCGGCCTCTAGTAAAACAAATAACAGGCACCAGTTCAAAAATCAGAAACAACCTCTAAATCTCTCAGCCTCTGACAGCTGCTACTTTTTGTTTCTCTCTTATTGTCATTATCCCACTCCCTACACACTCATTCTCTCACTGTGGATGGATATTTGCTTCTTAATAAAAGAATCATTATGCTGTATCTTGCAGTGGCCAACATAAAAGCTACCTTGTGAGTAAGCGATGAGATATTTTGGAAAACAGGGCCAGCAATGATCATAGGACATTTTACTTTCTGAAGAACAAAAACTGAAAGAGACTTAAAAAGTCAGAATGACAGCAGTCTCTCACATCAGAGACTTTGAGGAGGCCTCAAAGACAAGAATGACACCAGCGTCACTCCACATTTTCCTCTCTACCACTGGAATTCCTGTTCCTAAATGTTGCATTTGTGCCAGTGTGATAGCTTTAAAAATCTAAGACTAAGTTCCAAGCCACCAGACTTGTTTCACTGACAGTCAACCAGATAGGCAGGCAAAGATAAAATGCTGTGATATCAGTCCCTTGATCAGAAAAGAACAATGGAAGGTAGAGCTTGCTACAATGATACATTCCACTGGAAGGTCTCACTATGATCAAAGGTGACTGAATCTGATTGAACTTTCTGTATGGTAACTCACTGAATAAATCTGGTTGACTGTGTACCATAGCAGAAAGAATACTTGGAATCTACCCTTGACTTGGCTAAAACAGCCACATTAGCTTCAAGAAGTCACTCAATCTCATTAGAAAAATAACAGACTTGAATTAGGTGATTAATGATTCCTCAAATTAATTATTTATAATAAATGTTCAATTCTATCCACCTTGACATATTATTTCAGAAGTACTGCATACAACCTAAATTTTTAAATGTAACTGGCCTCATAGGAAGGGCTATGAAGCTGCCTATTAAACACACTGCTCAATTCCAGCTTCTGGATGAAAGTGTTCAATCTGATAGAAAAGTCACAGAGACCAAAATTTGTATGATTCAGAATTTTTCATTTACAGAAAAAAAAAATGTACTAGGTTATTTGAATAATTTTTAAAAATATCTTAATTCAACCAGGCGTGGGGCACATGCGTATAATCCCAGTACTTGGAAGGCTGAGGCAGGAGGATCCTTATAAATTCAAGATCAACTTGGGCTACAAAGTGAGCTCAAGGCTAGCCTGAACTGCATAGTGAGACCCCGCCTCACAACCAAATCAAACCAAAACAAAAACACTAAAACAATAACAATAACAAAACAAAACTCTTTTCTCAATTGTGAATAATATAAAACTTTTAACAAAACTCAGTAATCTTTAAAAATGAAAAAAAAAGAAAAAACCTTTAAAAAAATTGTTAAGCCATCAAGTCAGAGAAACGGGAGGCAAGTTATTAAAATCTTTTTAACTTCTGCCCAGCACAATGTGAGACAAAAGGTAACGGTTGGGCTGGAGTTAAGAGATATAGCTCAGTAGTAGAGCAGATTCTGAGTGGGTGCAAACACTGGGTTGAATCTCACCACCAGTAAAAAAATGAAAGATAATAGGCTATGGCTACATAATAGTGATGGGCTTTACTCCTGTCTGAAACCTCCTGAAATCGGAATGGGCAGTAGAGGACAGGAAAGTAGACCGGCCTAGAAGAGTCTAGTGCTCACAATCGGTGAACATCTGTGCAGCCCGGTTTACTCCTATGACCCTTGTTTTCCTCATGTGGTCCACAGGACTAATGGCTTCTCAGCATCCACTTCCTATCTGAGTTATATCAGTCAGGTGACTAAACAACCTGAGGTTCTCAAAGAAAAGTGCTTTACAAGTAAATATCTGATTACTTGGGTCAGCCACAAAATATGGAGACATTAAAAGCAGTAGTAAGTTTCTATGAAAAGTAATATGCAAAGCCAGGGCAGCCACCCCACCTACTTCCTAAGTTTCTTTTATGGAGCACAAAGAAGAAAATAATTAGGGTATTTCCAGTCACTGGATTACAGAGCAGATCCAGGAAATGCTTGCTGGCTTAGTGAGCATATGTATATTCCCATCTGCACAGGGAACTCTCTGGCTCATATACTTCAGTCTACTTCCGCTTTGAACAAGTCTTTCTCTTAAAATAGCTCAAAGGGAAGAGGGCCTTCTGAAGGTTCTGCCCTCCCCAACACATGGACGATATTAAGATGATATCTGTAGCGGTGTGAAGGAAGGAGCTGACAGTGGTCACAGAGCATTGATGTCTAAGGGAAAGAAAGCTTCCCTTGAGAAGTGTCATCAATAGCTCATAAACGAAATCCTATAGTCCTTAGAAACACAAATAGCTATACCAGGGTGAGAGCTAGTGGCCTTAATTCCAAAGAAAAGAATGTGTCTTTAGTGTTGCTCTGAGAGTTACATAAGCACTAGCTACTCCTTCCAGTTGCCTTTTCACCAAACCAAAACTGTTAAGTTATGTAACAATGATTAAAAAAAAAAAAATTTGCAGCTTGTATGGCCATGAGAGAAAAGGATAGAGTAAAAGAGATACAAGGTTTGACATACACTGAATTTAACCAAAACAAATTCTCATCTTTTGATGCTGTATGGACAGATAAGGATTTGACACTTCTTTCAAATATTTAAAACTAAGAGTAGGAACATGGCGGACAGACAACAGCAACTACTGAACGCTCTCTAAAGGCTCGGCTCAGAGGCCAGGAATGATGCGGACTAAGGAGATACGAACCAGTAGAGATATGCTCTGCTGACTCAGGAACGAACTGGGCTGAGAGAATCCAACTTGGAATATAGTCCTGGCGCTAAAATAGGAACAGAAAAATCTCGGTGTGGAGGCTCGACCCCGCGCCATCGGAAACCGCGGTTTGGATTTCCCGCCGCCCGGCGGCCAGCTACCTCCACAGCGGCTCTGCAAGGAGAGATGCGACCGCCGAGCTCTGGGAACGGGAGTCTCCGAACGGAGTCCCCGCGCCATCGGAAACCGCGGTTTGGATTTCCCGCCGCCCGGCGGCCGGCTACCTCCACAGCGGCTCGGCAAGGAGAGACACGCAGAGGCTCGGGAACGGGAGTCTGCGAACGGAGTCGGAAACGCGACGGACAGGGAGGAAGGCTGACTGGTGGCGAGGTGAGCGAGGAACTGACTCCCTACCACAGTTTGACTCCAGCGGAGGTTTTTCTGGGCTAGGGCAGTCCTATAAGAGCAGGGCGCGGTGGCAACTGCAGCCGCACATTCCCCTCTCGGACGGGACTGGTGAAAGGTGCCTGGCCGGAGTGACGCTGCTGGCGGACTCCCTAGGCTGGCCTAACCCAGATCCCAGAGCCTGACGGTGGCCAGGAGGAGCGACTGACTCCCGCGTAGGCTGCCTCCTCCGCAACTCCCTGGGGCGCAGCGGTGGGCGGGAACAACTAGCCAGTGCAATTTGATCAGGCTGTGGCTGACAGGCAGGGAAGCCGGGACTCCTGTGTAAGATTGCATTTTATAAGGAACAGAAAATATGGGGAAGGGAAGCAACAAAAAAGGCTCCTCGGCCCCCAATCCTGAGAATCAGGCAATACTGGACACTGCACCAATATACATTAAGCGCCATTTAGAGAGTCTCATAGACCAATTCAGAAATGAAGTTATCAATGACCTGAAGCTAGAAGTATGCAGAATAGTTAGAGAAATGCTAAGCACCACCCAGGAAAAAGCAGATGGTGGAATGGAAGAACAGAAAAAGAGGGGAGAATTGCTTGATGGAGAAAACAGAGAAAGCATTGAGTATGTGAAGCAGGTGCAAAGGGACTATCAAGAAATTAAGAAGTCTACCCAAGACTGGCATAACAGCTTGAAAGAAACTAAGGACAGACTATCTGAATTGGAGGGCAGACTTGAAACATGGGAGAATGAAATGAAAAACTTCTTAAAAATAACAAAGAAACACACAGCAATAATACAAAGACAAGAAGATGATAAGAGGAGCCATAACTTAAGGATTAAGAACATAAAAGAAGAAGTAGGGACACAAACAAGTGAACTACAAAAGCTACTCACAGAAATAATCCAGGAGAATTTTCCTAATTTAGCAAAAGGTAAAGATACTCAAATGTATGAGGCATACAGGACCCCAGCTACCTACAACCCTAACAGAGAAACACCCAGGCATATAATAATAAAAATTCCAGAAATTCAATACAAGAACAGAATATTAAAAGCTGTAAGAGACAAGAAACAGATCACTTACAAGGGAATACCCATCAGAATTACAGCAGATTTCTCTTCACAAACCATCAAATCACGAAGAGCATGGGGAGAAATAATTCAAGCTTTGAAAGATAATAATCTCCAGCCAAGATTGAGATATCCTGCACAACTGTCCCTGGAAATTGATGGAAAAACGAGATGCTTCCAGGATAAAGAGGAACTGGGGGAATTTGCAACCACCAATTCAACCCTACAGAAAGTATTGCAGGATATTCTAAAAAAAGAAAAATTCAAAGAACCCAGAAATAGGGGCGGGGAGGCCACAACGAATGGAGCAGAGAACAAAATGAAGAAGACAAACTGACAGCTACTGACAGAAAAAGAGCTCAACAGAAATGAGACAGAGAAGATTGGATGATAGGAACAGCTTTTTTTGGAGAAAATGACATCTTAATAGGTAATGCTGATTTAGTACCATCTTGTTTTGAAGTCTCATCTAGCTTTTGTTCTTCTGTCTCCAATGGTCTAAACAGGTTGTATCTTATTGGATTTTGTTATGTACGATAGTATAAGAAAAAACCTTTTAAAGACAAGGAGATTATACAGAGACCATTGTTCATTTTCTGTTAGTCGATTCTAAATACTCTATAATGCTGTCATTCTCTTAAATGGATTTACATTGTTTTGATATACTTAATGCTATAGTATATGAAGTTGTACTCAAGGACTTCAGGGAGGGAGTCAATATGGTAACTATTTTTGGGTCAGGATTATCTGGTGGTGAAACACTATTCTGCTTAAATGGTTATGTTTTGATCTGCCCTGTTTCGCTGTTATGCCCTCTTTTTTCTCAATCTCCACTCCATTATTTACTTTTTTATTTTTATCCATTTAATTAAAGGGAAAAATATAGCAGGATATAATATAGTAAGCCACTTTGACTTTCTATTATCTCGATTTGAAGCCCTGTATTACTCTCACCATCTTGTTTTTGACTGAGGTTCCTCTATTCTGTTTTGCTGGATAGTATCAAGTTCGAAAGTTTAGGCATCAGCTGAGAAGATAATGAGATTCATTATAACACCCATTCTCGACTTTTATCTACTTTTGAAGACCTACAATATCTCCAATGTTTTGGTTTTGTCGGTTTTATTCTTTACGGTTTTGTTCAATTGTATTACAACTAATGATATAGGCAATTCTATTAGAAATAGCGGGAGGCATTATGGTAACCATTGTTGATCACCTTGTATTATGTTTTTATATTATCTATTATGTCCACCCTTTTGACTTGACCGATTCTGTTCTGTTATGTCACATTTGGTCTTACTCTCTTCCAAAAAAGCAATAAGAACCGTGGGAGCAATGAAACCCAAAATGTGTAATAGTCACTGTACAAAAGAGAGGAAAAGAAAGTGCTCTAAACTATATAACTGCATGTATATTTAAATGTATAAGATAGAAAATGATATCACAGAGTTTTATTGGATCATTGAACAGAACTGTTTGCAGTATCATTGTTGGAATGTCCACTCTACAAGCTTTAATTTTGTGACTTGAACAATTATTTCTAAGATGGCAATATGTAATCCATTAACTAGTGATTTCCTACTGCGCATTTTTTTATTCTGTAAATCTGTATAACTTGTACCCCTTCACTGTTTTTTTTTCTTTCTTTTCTTTTCTCCTTAAATAAAAATTAAAAAAAAAATATTTAAAACTAAGAGTGAGCCAGGCACCACAGCGCATGCCAGCACCGAGAGAAGCTGAGACAGGAGGAGTCCTTGGCAACTTAGCAAGAGACTGATTAAAAACTAAAAATAAAAATAAAATTAAAAATAAAAGGGACAGGGATTTAGTTCAGTGGTTTAAGCACTTGCCTGGTAAAAGTTAAAAAAAAAATGGCTGGGATGTTTTGGTCTCTGGTACTATAAAAATAAAATTAATAAGAAGAAGAGAAAGAAGAGGAAGAAAAGGAAGAGGAAGAGGAAGAAGAAGAAGAAGAGGAAAAAGAAGAAGAAAAAGAAGAAGAAGAAGAAGAAGAAGAAGGAGAAGGAGGAAGAGGAGGAGGAGGAGGAGGAGAAGAAGAAGAAGAAGAAGAAGAAGAAGGAGAAGGAGGAAGAGGAGGAGGAGGAGGAGGAGGAGGAGGAGGAGGAGAAGAAGAAGAAGAAGAAGAAGAAGAAGAAGGAGAAGAAAAAGAAGAAGAAGAAGAAGAAGAAGAAGAAGAAGAAAAAGATGGTCTCACTACCTTAAACTCTCAGCAAATGGATTTGCTACTGCCAACAAACACTTTTGGAATGAATTAGGCAAGGATGATGACAAATATCTAAAGACTTAAGGAAAAATGCAAAATACCTTGGTACCCTGGGAAGGAAATGCTTCTTCAAAATCTGCCAGGATTTGCTGTCCTAACTCAGTCTGGGCAGCCTTCACTCTGTGAGGAAGAGAACATATTATTTCTTGGTGTAATCTTCAAATATCTGTAAGTAATTATATGTCAAATCCACAAGAGTCCAAACTGTTGAAGACTTTAGAAATCTTCCAAATAACCCAGAAAGGGAAAGGTGGTATAGCTAGATAAGAGAACTCACACACTAGTTAGTGAGTTTATGACCAGGACCCAGGTACCCAATTTATTCTCAAAATGGATTTTCTACCTCCCCAAAGTTCTTCTAGGCCACTCTTATCTGATATAGGTAGTATATGCTAATCTCTCCAATATTTCATTAGGGGGCAGCTCTACTGTGGGAAAACATTGTATAACAGCATTGAAATCAAACATAAATCCATGGTGTATTAATGACTTAACTGCTTTCCGACTCCTTGAGGTATGAAATGGGAAGAGGGTATCAAATGTTGCAGGGTGGCACTTTTGTTTTAACCCAGAAACTAAACATAGGATCATGAATTTTTAATCAAATAAACAACAACAAATATTTTCTAAAGTATAAAGAAAAAGAGCAAAATGACTAAATGAACTGCTAATCAAAAGTGAAGATTTAAATTCAGGACACTGTCACTAGGAAGACTGAACCAGTTAGAAAGGAGGGAGGGAGGCCAGTGCTTAACAGCGGTTTGCATGCACATCAGCGCTCAGGAAGTATCTGCCAGTTTGAATGAAAGAAGAGAAAGGAGAGCAGTAAGAATGAGACAGGAACTATGCCCTGCAATCAATCATGGCCTGCACATCTTCCTCCAGCAGCCTGGCTTTGGTGGTGCCTTGGTTACCTGGGCTGGCCTCTCAGCTAGTGTGGAGCTAGCTTTGAGGTAGCCGTTCGCTTTCCTTGAGCCTGAAACAAATACTTTATCTTTCCTAAAAGCACTGTAATCTAGCCTGCTTCCTTTCTTGGTCTCCATCTTGTTACTTCTAAATTAACTTTATGAAATTTTTAGAAATAGTGAGCAACTCAAAACTCAATTTCTTTGGTCACTAAGGAACATCTGCAATGTGCTGAGATTTTTTGTTTTCATTTTTTAATGAGGGCACAGGCATGACCCAAAACAGACTGTTTTTTTTTTTCCTATGGCATAGTTATAATAATATTCTTCCTTTGGGGCTGGGGATTTAGCTCAGCGCCATAAGCGCCTGCCTTGTAAGCTCACAGTCGTGAGTTCGATCCCTGGTACGGATTAAAAAAAAAAAAAGATTCTTCCTCCAAATATTTTCTGGATTTTTTTCACCATCTTCAACACTTTTCAAGTTACTTGGATAAGCATGTTTGTAGTCTTTTAAATTAGTTTTTAAGGGGATTAGAAATGATGCAGGTAAAGCTGTGTAGGAATAGCTACCCAAAACAGAGGTAGGACTTCCCACCAACAGACAAAGGAAAATGTCTCTTGAGTGAATGCTGACACAGGGGGAAAGAACAGCTTCACAAAACAATTCCTAGAGCATCTTGTGACTCTCATAAGATGAGCCAGCAGACGGCCTCCTCCAGTGCCAGGTCACAGAGCTTCCAGGGGCTTAGCTCTGTCTGTTCCTATCCTTGTCTTGCAAGCACACAGAGCACCAATTCCTTCACGAGCCACGGGGAAAATTCCTGTAGGGGAAGTCCCCTTGGCCAGCCTCGTTCCTGATTGTATTCTCAGGGCTACCGACTACTTTAGGGACCCTAAGGGACTCAGCTCTACCTCTGTCACTCTCACCCCATCTTCACCATTTTCAACTTTCATTTTTTTTACTGTAGCACTGAGATGACCGAAAAGACAATCAGAGGCTCCATCAGGGCTTGGTATTGCCAGAGTACAAAAGAGAGGGCATTACCAGACTCTGGTTTGTAATAGTCTTTAATCTGCATTCACAGTCACCTGTTGAGAAAGGCAAGACTTAGCCGTGCCACTAATAAGCCATGTGTAATGCTAAGTCACTTCCTTTGCATGGGCCCAAACTAACAACAGTTATGAGATAAAAGGGTGAGGACAAAGCCTTGTACTAGATGACTTTCAGTGTCTGCTCCAGTGCTGGTTATTCCACAACAGCTACCTTATAGCACTAGCTGGCAACAGCGTCCATCTTCACAGGTGGCTGTGGCAGGATTTATAATTAATGCTGAGGTAGAAGAATTCGGTTCTGCTTAGAAATATTTTTGTAGTAGCTTCAGAAGTATCTACCAGTAATTCTGATTGAGAAACAAGCATTCCCTTGTAGACAGTAGATATTATTGACAATATTTATAAACCCAAACCACAACCTCCTAGATTTTCAGGTGTGAATTGTCTCTGTGATCAATTGCCTAAATAGGACCCAAGAAATAAGTCAAAGATTTAAAAAATTGCATGTTTAGTCTCACTCCTTTAATTTCTTCCTCTTGCAACAATGAGAAGTCCCTGCTATAAGAGAAAAAGTCTTAAGCACAGCAAACTACCAAGAAATTTCCTAGTCATTCTTAAGACAGTCCACCTACATCTTATACAGAATGAGATAAATAAAAGTTCCTCCTGGCATCCAAATAACCCAGCCTGTCATGTGGTGGCAGCTCAAAGCTGGCTACTCTTGGGAAATGCAAGATTCATTGTGCTGCTGAAAGGAAAACCAACCAATGACTTCTGGCATCCAACATGCTGTGTGACATCCATATTGTTCAAAAGTGCCATAAATATGGTGCCAGCTTCTTCAAAGAGTGGTAGCAGAAGGGTAGCAAATTATGAAAATAATTTAGACACCTGTAGAAAAAGCAACCCTGATACTTCATTATCTTTTAGCAGTCTCAAGAAAAAAAAAAAGCATCTACAGTACCCAAATAAATATCCTGATCTCCCAAGTACAGTGTACACTGAACAGTGCCGCTAGGTGGGCACTAAAGCTTCTCAACCTAGAACCTTAGAGTGACTCATAGGGACAGTTCTGAAGTCATCAAAGACAACCCCACAGACTTACCTGCGGAAGAGACCCAGAAAATTTTTATCAATCAGCTGTTTAGGCCCTTCATTCCCCTTTGACTCCTTGTTACTGCTACCATGTTACCTCTAAACTGCCATGCTTCTCTCATTATAGGTTAAAAATAGCTCTAATAGATACATTTTAGTTCAAGAGTTTCAAGGTTTTCAAGAGAATGAAAGAATCTTCCATTCTTTCTCAGGAAATATTGCCTGACTAAAAACATTTGCTTGCCTGGATATGCCTAAACCAGGAGTATTCAAAAATTAAAGATATTAAAGAAAGAACTTTTCCTTCAATGCTACATTAAACATTTAAGCATTTGCCAGAAGGGTGGTTGGAAGAAACAGCAAATCAAGACCCATGAACTTCATATTTCAAGTGTACAGGCAAATATTTCACATGACTTCCACAATTTATAGTCAGCATGATATTATATTAGAGAAACTGAAGCAGTGCATAGGGTGTAACTCCTCAGCCTTCTCCCTTCCCTCCTAACAAACAGCTATTTCTATCATTTCCAGATGGCTCTGCCATCACTATGTAAACATAAGGGAGGGAAATTCACCAGAAATGATGCTAAAAATAAGAAGCCTGGACTTCCCTCAAACTTTTAGTACCTCTTAAAACTTATTTTAGTCAAGCACTAAAAACAAACTTTCTCATCCTGCATCATTTTAATGCTGTTTAATAGCACATATTCTGTGTATCACGCACGACTGCAGCAAGTAGAGGCTATGAAACAAATTAAAGGACAAGTACATCCTGCTCTGTTTGCAGCAACTTTATATGATAATGAGCTGAAACATACTGACGATTCTCTCTCTGTCTCTGTCTCTTTGTCTCTGTCTCTGTTTCTTTGAGATAGGGTCTTACTGTGTAGATCAGGCTGGCCTTGAACTCATTATGCAGCCCAGGTTGCCTTCAAACTCACAGTGACCCTCCTGTTTCAGCCTGCTGAGTAGTGGCACATGTTCGGTGGATTTTCCTTTTTAAGGGAATGTTGTTACACCAGTAATCACAAAGTCCTTTATATTTACAAACTATATTTTTGAAAACTACTACAGAGCAAAAAGCAAATCAAAAGCACAGGCAGTAAAAGTAAAAATAACCAAGTGGGGCAACAGGAAACTAAAAAGCTTCCACATAGCAAAGAAACAATACACAAAATGAAGCCTACGGATTGGGGAAAAAACACTTGGGAGCTATATTATGTGACAAAAGTTAATATTGAAAGTACATAAGAACTCATAAAACTCAACAGCAAAAGAATGAGCAGCCTAATTAAAAAATAAGCAAAGGACCTCAATAGAAATTTTGCCAAAGATATAAAAAAAGGCATAAAGGAAGATTTTTTTAAAAAGGCTCAACATCACTTAATCATATGGAAAATGCAACTCATACTCATCAGATTGACTACCAAAAAGACAAAAAAATAAGTGTTGGCAAAGAGGCGGAGATGAAGACACTGGTGGGAATGCAAATGGTCTAGCCATCATGGAAAATACTATGGAGTTTCCTCAATAATTTAAAAATAAAGCTACCACATGACCTAGCAACCCTCATGGATATATAGCCAAAAGAATGAAATCAACATATCTTACTTCAGATAACTGCTCTCCCATGATCACAGCAGTGTTGTCTGCAATAGCCAAGATATGAAAATAACTTCTCCATTGACAGATGAATGACCTAAAGAAACTATGGTCATGTGTATATATACAATGAAACATTGTTCACTTTTAAAAAGGAGATCCTGCCCCTGTTAACAATATGGCTAAAGCTGGAAGATATGATGTTAAGTGAAATAAACCATCCATGGATAGAAAAATGACTGTATGATCCTTCTTATATGTGGAAATCTTAAAAAAAAATAAAGTCAAACACAGATCTCTCCATTGGGTTCTGCATCAGTTGATTAAAACAACAGTGGATACTGAGGAATGGATAGAAAAGATGTATTTTTATACAGTGGAGTACTGCTTACCCACAAAGATGAGTAACTGGAGACTTTTACAGGTAAATGGATGCAACTTGAGACCATACTCATAAATGAA